GTAGAGATACCAGGACGGTAGCCGAATAGTGTATCAGGAAAAAAGTGATTGTCTTCAAGGAATGGTTGTAGTCGAGAGAGGACAACGCGTTCAAAGAGTTTAGCTACACATAAAGTTAAGGACATAGGGCGAAGATTCTGGAGGGATAGCGGCTTGCCAGGCAATGGAATAAGTATGATTTCTGCGTGTCACCACTCCTGTGGTAGCGTGCCGTTTTTCCAATGTTCGTTGTAAAAAGCGGTTAAATATTCGATGGACTGGTCACCTAAATTACGCAGAAGTGTGTACGTAATGCCGTCTGTACCGGGTGCTGTGTTGCGCCTAATGCTTTGCAAAGCTGCCCTAACCTCTGCTTCCGTAATGTCCTCATCTAGAGGCGTATCGTGTACGTGTGGATAATCACGGTAGGCGGGACGGGGGCCGGTGGATACATAGTGTTGCTTTAAGGTGTGGAGCAGAGGGGTATCGTCGAGCCCTGATTTGTGGAGAATAGTGCAGATTGCGTTAGCAGTGTGTGATTTTGTCTGCGCGGGATTTAAAAGAGCACGGAGTACACGCCACGTTCAAGGTGTACTTAGTGAGCCGTTGAGTCGATTACAGAAGTTATGCCAATTGTTGCTAGTGAGGATGTTCGCATAGTCATATGCCTCAGTAGCTAGTTGGGCGATTCGGAGACAAAGTTTTCGGTTATGTTTCTGTCGCCACCACCACCGTGTCAAACCTCTGTGGGCATCCCAGAGATGTAGCAGATGCCGGTCCACATCCGGAGTTTCTGTCGTCACAGCGATGAGTTTGGTAGCTTTTTGAAAATCGGATTGAAGTTGTAATATCGAAGCCTCTAGGGAAGGAGAGTCCTGATGGGTAGTTCTACGATTACGCCTAAATGCATCCCAATTCGTTAGTTTTATGATGCGCTCTGGGGCACGCGTGGCTGCTACTTGGAGCTCTGTAGTTAGTATATGGTGATAACTGCCTAGATTCACCATGAGGTTGCACCAGGAATGATGACTAACGCCCTTGACTATCGTGAGGTCGGGGCATGTGTCCCTGCTGACACTATTACCTAGGCGAGTGGGTTGATCAGGTTCAGTCAGCAGGGTCATGCGATGAATCGCGAGAACCTGTGCGAGTCGTCGGCCTTTAGGCGTTTCTGTTGCGTAGCCCCAAGCCGGATGGGGGGCATAGAAATCTCCTACAATAACTATTTGTTTACCCAACTTGCATAGTTGTGCGAATTGATGACCGAAGTCATCGTTCCTGGCGTTAGGTGCAATGTAAACGTTAAGCACGTACAGGCTGCTACTGGAACGAGAGCACGGGACTAATTCGAGAAGTACGTGTGAGATGGAGGTGCTTTGAAGAGTGTGTTCTATGACAGTGACATGCTTAGAAACTAATGTAGCTGTGCGATGTGGTGTATTGTTCGTTACGTCCGTGTATGTGGTGTAATCCGGAGGCGTAGGGGTCCATTGTACTTCTTGTAACGCTATGACATCGGGAGTAATCCGCTGCGTCGCCATGAATTGCATTAGAGCTCCGCGTTTCTTACGATACCCTCTGCAATTCCACTGCCACACACGTAGGAGTTGAGGGGTGTCACGCGTTGACCTACGGTTTCTCGCCATGATCATGCAATAGCGAGGCCTCGGTAGTACACGGAAGCATTTCGGACTGTGCTAAATCTTGGTGGAGGGTGGTGGGAAGCGGGACTGCAGCTGCGGCTGTCGGGACGGTTTTCCGGGACGGTGATAGGAAACGGGAGGGGCGTATGTAAGGATGCGGTCGCTGTTTTTCACGTGTCGGAGACGTGGTGCGTTTTGGTGCAGATGGCGAAATATTAAGTTGGTCAAGTGCAGCCGATATCTGCTGTTTAACTTCCGTTACGATCTGCTGCACAGCAGGTTGCAGGGCCGGCTGGATCAATTGTTGAAGTGGAGCTGTTAGTTCAGCCATAATGCTATCTTCATTTTCTGCATTTCTACCTGCATCATAGCTGCGAATTCGTTCCTTAAAGAAGTAGCCATTTCGTTTAACGCCTCTCGTGTGCAATAGTCGGATCGTGCCGTAGTTGACGACATGTCAGGGTGAAGCTGCGTGTCCACTGTCATGGGTTGTGGTAGTCTTGGTGGAGTAGGTTGTGGTGTTCTTTGCTGCGTTGATGTTTGTGTGAGGGAGTGCGACTGGTGTGGAGAGGGAGGGAGAGAAGGGAACTGCCCTGCCCAGCTTACCGTTTGTGCTTTCTTGTGGGAACCGCTTTGCTGGCCATGATGATGCGTTGTCCCGTCCGTGTGCCAGCCTTGAGATCCCGGCTGGCCAGCGAAACCGCTCCGCGATGACGAGTTTCTTCGCTTGGGCCCCGACTTATCCCTGGAATGACTCCTTCGCCTGGCTGCACTCCCGGACGCACTGCTCTGCCGTCCGGTGCTGGGAGATGGTGACTGGGCCTTCTTGGTGGGAGTAGCTGACCGGGGTGGTTTGCGTCGTTTGACTGGTGGCAAAAACCGCTTTGGGCATGGTTTCGCAGCCGTCGGGTGGTCGCCACCACAAAGCATGCAAGAAGGGTGGCACTCGTGGTTGTTGGGTGATAGTGAATCCCCGCACACTCAACTTTTCGGTGTGTCAGGAAGCTGTGGGCACACATCCTCGCGGTGTCCTGTTTCGTTGCACTTTCTACAGTGAGGAATAGTCCGTTTGTAGAGGTAGCAGCGAAGAAGCCTGTCCGTACGCGTTGACGAAGAAAGGGACTCGCTTGCCACAAAATGTGAGGACCATTGCTCCGGAGTTGCCGAGGCGTGCTGCACGTAAGGACCTCGTAGCCCGGTACTTCGACTTCTGTCAGGAATTCATCTGGTGTGATTTCATGGCCTATTCCGTTGACCACCCCTTTGCACGAATTATCAGGCGCAATACTATAAGAGGTGATGTCGTAGGTTGCTGCGTGGACTGTAATTTTGGTGATTTGTCCAAGTGCCGTGACGATGAGTTCAGATGAGGTGCTTATTGTAGCACATTTTGGTCTTCGTCAACTCGAAGCTTGATATCAGGCTTCTCACTGCGTATATTTGCTGCATGAACTACGGCGAGAAGTAACGTCTTGGGGCTTACCTTGCTCAGATTTAATCCACCATGGGGACGGATTGCTAGCTTGTAGTCCTCGGCAGGGAGCGGTGGGAGTCTTGGTAGACGCGTCTTAGGCCGGCTCTGGCGTAGAGCGGGCTCAGACGGCTGTGCTGGGCAGCTGTTGAGTCGGTACGGTATGGGGTTGCAGCTGTCGGCGTTTGTTTGCTCTCTTGGTAACAGTGATCCATGGATGTGCGTTGTGCTCATTGCTCACGTGCGTATCGGCGTCTTGACTGGTCTGCGTATCCATCATGTGGTCCGTGGAGCGAGAGGGCAATGAGTGCCTCTCGTCGGCTGCGACGCTCCCAGAGACGCTCGCCATCCGCTGTAGCGCGGGGCGGCGTTCTGTCCAAGCCGCGTCTCCGGCTTCTTAGGGTTAGCGAGGTGTACCTCTTCAAGAACTTTTAAAAGCGTTAAGACGTTTAAAAGTGTACTCACAGGTTGAAGTCCTGTATAGGCTTGACAGTGGTGATGCTAGGAACAAGTTCCTATCATTGCGACAGGTCGCCAGGAAGAAATTCTTCTTGAAAATGAACCTGAGCCGGAGCCGATGTGATTCGCGTCCGTCGCATGCTCTCCAAGCGCCAGGAAGAGGCAAGACAGTTGGATCTGTGCAACTCGACTACTCGGACTTCGACGACCATAGTCATTAGACTTGTGAGCACAAGTTCGCCCTCATAAAGCCGCTTGTTTTTTAACCCTGTATGCCTCAGTATCGCTACAATATATATACATATATATATATATATATATATATATATTACTGTCTGTTAGATCTCATTATATTGTGTTAAAACACGGAAAAAACGAGCCCTTAGGTATACACTTCTTTCCCTTTATATATATATATATATATATATATATATATATATATATATAATGTCGACAAATCTACGAAGCCCAGTATTATTATTTATTAGACCTTTTGAATTTCTACAAACACAGGTCCTCGACGACATCCGGTTTTGTCCACCGATCTGCCTTAATAGCATCAATGGACAACAAGAGCTTTAGAAAATAGCCCACTAATTTTCTAGTTTCTTTTTCTTATCTGGCAAAATATATTCAAATAAGTCTTCTGTTGAGCTACATAAAACTTGTAAAAACCTCCTGTTGTACTGGACGCACGCTTATATTCATAGGAAAAACGAGAGACTATACTTACCCTTGAAAAGAAATGGAAAACGTGTTCACTTTTTTCACGTTAGGGGCTGGTAAATCAGGTGACCGAAAGTTTTTTTGAAGTACAACGCTTGCAACATTGAAATGACTATAATTTGTCGGCCTGATCGCCTGCCTTCTTCAGAGTAAAGCTGAGGGCGTATGTCTTTGAGGAGAGGAGGAAAAGTTTTTACTCTGACGAAGGTGGACCCTTTAGCCGAAATGTTAGCAAAAACAGCGTTTCCTACTATTGGTAATTTTTTTAACTCTATTTCCTGTCGGAATTATTGTACCTAGTTCTCGCTTATATACATACATACATACATACATACATACATACATACATACATACATACATACATACATACATACATACATACAGACATATATATATATATATATATATATATATATATATATATATATATATATATCCGCGTCTTTATTTCTTAAAAATGCAAGCGGGGGTCGCCACAGGCAGGCACGTGAGAAATCACTCTTCCAGGTCGTGGTGAGTCTCAATATACCACGGCTTTTTGTGATACGTTCATTTACAAAAACGCAACACAATACACCACGACTCATTATAGCACACTTGACTGGAATCTTTCAAAGTGGCAGCTAGGTCGTATCACTGCTACTTCCAAGGAATTATCATTTTACTAAGGCGTCTGTGTGTTTGCTTGCAATATTCTCAAGAAAGAAATAAACACGGTAACCTTTGCAGCGATTGTCTTCTCGGTGTCGTAGCCGACCCATGTCTTCCCGCTGTGTGCGTAGAAGCCGATGGCTGGCTCGATGTACTTCACCTCGGTCCACTGTCGCTTGCAGATCTGAGAGAAGATAACAATTTTTACATCAATCTACAGCAAAATGATCCCGTCAAGACTTGAGCTCTCACGTCAAGACTGCGAAGAAGTCTAAGGCAAATTTTCTTCTCCCACAAACCTACTGTGTGACTGTTATTTTTGAGTCTTGCTTTAAAGGGGTCAAGAAAAAGTCGCTCTACAACGACAAAGCGGCATCATCGGCAGCCACATGCGCTAACTATATCATCAGTCCGAGTGGACCTGCATTGACGATTTGCATATCGAGGAACACCGAATTCGACGGCATCTTCAAGCGCGCGCAAGAAGGGGCTCGTCAGCATCTGGCATATGCAATCCGCATCCCACATAATGCTGCTTAAAATGACGTCAGATGCGGAGTTCAGGTTAGCGCCGATTGATTATGGTAAAGACGCTGATGGGTGTCTCAATCGTACGTACTAGCAAGTACCGAAGAGTTCCGCGTTCTTCGATAGGCAATGCATTACTTGTGCAGACGTCACCTACTAAGTGCGTGTTGATGCCAGTGGTTTCACATTGTTGTTGTAGAGCGAGCGTTCCACGACCCTTTAAATTTTCCACTTCCAACTTTCTATGAACGTTTTTTACGGAGACGACAATTTACTCCTTTCTGGGCCGTTGCACTAAAGTACAAAAGCCGACGTAAGAGCCTCGGCAGGGTGATTTTGTGGGGCACCACGCGCCCTAACAACTGCCCAGAAAGGAATGGCGGCGCCCAGAGAGCCTTGAGTGAAAGGGTCTATAGGTGGCCCACCAAGACCTCGTTGTACTACCTTTCCCTTAATGTTATGTGCCCTTTTCTACTAAAAATATTGCCATTCAGAATTTTAGAATACGGTATAATTTGAGTGTTCGGAATAGCATTGTCGGTGCATTCCTTGCACTGCATCGACGCTCCGTCTGAGAAAACTGCGAGCCACTCTCCCCTCCAAGCAGCTTGGAAGGCAAGTCAGAAATACCATCTCACCAACAGGTCCCGTTACTAACATGGCGCCCTACAATGGTGACAACGGCGGTGTTATTAGGAGCAATAAAAGAAACCAAAAAATACTGAATAGATATTAAGAAGTGGAAGCAAAGAGAAATAACATACTAACCGCATACTTGATCACCTCGTGAAACGTTTTCATGTCGTGCGACGCACTCGTCAGCACACCTACCTGTCTTGCCCATCGAGTCACCTGCTTTTCTCCCTTCACCACGTTAGCCTGCCCACCACTTGGAACAAATATTTTTGTACCTATGTACTGTCACCTAAGTAGCCCCAACACCAACTAGCCGACCCACTTGAAGGCAATACCGTCTCATATGTTCTACCGTCTCCTTCTCCGCAAGCATATAGGCTCTCATTTCCCATGGAGAGATAAGACATTGCTTACATGCTTAAACTATACCTTCATCACATGCTTCAACCCAGATTAAAGTAGAAATCGCTAATAAACATATGCGGCAAAGTATCCCACGTCACATACCATGCCTCCTCAAAATCTGAGGCCTCTCAGTAAAGAAATAAGTGCACCGCGATTAAACTAATAAGGCGGCAAGCTGTCGTCTTGCATGCGCAATTTCTCACGTAAGTTATTGAGCTCGAAAGATTTGCAGCTTACGATTTACACCTTAGTAAAGCAGCGCACAGTTGCTCTTTCGAACACCCACTACCACTACTGGGCTCTTTCATACAACGTGAAGCCTGATATAATCCTCCGCTCCACTGTTGTGGTTGTTACAGTGATAGGCTGCGCAGCCACAGGTCATGAGTTCACCCGGCTGAGACGGTCGCATTTCGACGGACACGAAATGTTAGTCCCGTGCGCTCTGCTATGCCTATGCTCGTTAAACAACTTCAGATGATCAAAACTGCCCGAGCCCTCCATGGCGTGCCTCATATATTATCGCGGTTCTGCCATACAAGATTCCAAATATTGTGACGTGATATTGCATGATAATTAAGTCAACGATTTTGCTGTGAGGACTGCCATCTCTCCCAAAAGATGTAACAGCAGCGTCAGGAACGATATGATTGTGAGAAACGTGATAGTGGCGACAAAGAAAGCGCTTAACAGCGCAAACGACAGGAGGGGATAGAAGACAGAAGGGGATCCCCTCCTGTCGTTTGCGCTGTTAAGCACATTCTTTGTCTACGATGCAGCACCAACCAGCCCAATCAAGCACTTTGTCATAGTGGAGGGCTGCTTAAATTTTCGTCACCTCAGGTTCTTTAACGTGCACTTAAATCCAACTACACAGCCACACATCTCGTGCATCGTGTCCATCAAAATGCAGCAGACAAGGCAGGCATTCGATCCAGCGACTTTCGGGTCACTAGACGAACGCTATAATCACAACAGCAGGAGCGGGTTGTGTTGCCTATATAGCGTAACACACCTCGGAATAGGAAACGTCCCTGACGTGTTTCGCCGGTGCTCCAAGTCCATGCTCAGAAGAGTCCCGCAGCTGAAACTGGTTGCCACCCAGCACGAGCGTGAAGCACACCTGAGACTTCGGTGATCTCGCCGCCAGCTTGGCCAGCTGGCCCACTTCACGGCCCTGCATGAGATAGTAATGATTTCGCCTTTACTAGAGAAGTTCAGAAGGTGGTGGCATTCAGCTTGATTGTTTTACTGTCGAAACCTGTATATGGCTAGAAGAAACAAAAACACTGTGCGGCAGCTGGTGTCACGAGTGGTCTCCATTGGCTGTGTTATCAGTTACGTTGTTTGCAGCATCGTACCCAAGCACGTGCTGCTATTGGCCGTGTTGTGAGTGACGTAAGTCAGCCATCACGTCGGAACCAGTGGTGCCAAGCACGCGCGAGTTTTTCCCGAAACTTTCCACATGTGTATGCCACGGACAACTGTAGAAGGGCACCGACAGTTGAAACGTGAGAGAGCTCGCATTCGTCGGGCCAATGGTGCATTCTGGGCACACAAACGGGCCCAGGGAGCCGGTACTGACACTAACTGCGTGCCGATGATTCAGTGACCTTCCAAGCAGCGCTAAATATTCAACGGTAATGCAAGCGCCAGTGATGGACAGATTCCGCATACCACGCCACTGAATTAGCTTGCAAACGCTTGCACTAACTCGGCGTTGCAGCGTCAATGCGGTGACTACAGGAGCAGGGTTCGAAGAGTTGAACGCGCGCTTTCGGCAGGAGTTTCTCCAGTGGGACATTGGCTTCGGCTGCGACGTCTGTGACCGCTATTGTTTCGAGAACAGCCACTGTGGCCAATGCATTGTGAAACGCAATCAACCACTCATTACACTCCATGATTGTCACAATTCGAGGCACAATATGTGGCATATCAAAATTGACCTTCTCCCCGAAGCGAACTCTGGCGGGTTGCGAAGCAGCAGGTATGTGCGCGGCTTTGACCCGGTTGAAACGAGCTTCGACGTCGTGGCTGGACGAACGGTTTGAAGCGAAGCTCGGTTTAGTGTTTTCTCGAGTAAACGCTCGTTTGAAACTCGAAGACACGGGAGACGAGTTCGGTTTCTTGTAGGTTTCATCGCAGACAAAGGACCCGAAAGAGTAAAGAGATTTAGTCACGCGTCTGCAACAGCCGTATGGACCCAGCCTGCTTACCATTTGTAAGAGCAAGCCGCGTCCGTATGGCTGCTGTGGGCACGCAACTAAATCTGCAGTGTTTGTACTCGACGTGCGGTCGAGTGTTTCGGTCAATTGAGGGGATGAAGTGAGAGAAAAGTGCGTGTTGTGAGCGGGCGAAACAGCCAGCAGCTGCTGCGGGTGACAGAGTGACGTCAATGCACAGCTGCGCCTTTACCTGCTTGGGATCGCTCCAACACCTGCAGGGAAGTCAGTGTGGACTCAAGGGATGGCGTTATGCAGGTTAGTGAAATAGCTACTTCACATCTAATATAAACTGTTAAACCCAAGCCAAACATGTGGCATACGTCATTAAGAAGCACGAACATGTAATCAGTTTGTGAAAAGCCGCTGGGTTGAGCCCACTGCTTAACACTGGGGCCACACATTTTAGCTTTCGTGGATAAACCATTTGTACGGAGTGCCTTGGCGGCAATTTTCGCCTATTGAAACCGGTAGCGCAAGAGTATAATTGGACCATCATTCACGTGCTTTGCCTCGCAATACCTCTGTTGCTACAGGCAGCAACTGCATTCATACCTAAAACAGCCAAGTGAATGAATGAATGAATGAATCAATCAATCAATCAATAAGTGGAACGTTTATTTCAAAGAAAAGGAAAGTTCTGGTCCACAGTTTTTGAACATGAGCGGATGGAATTATTAGTTGCACAGCGTTAGCATATTAGTATAACACCACTGTGCGTTCATTAGCTGCAGTGACGTTCAACGAGTTGCTATCACTCGAGTTAGTCGACCTCTTCTAGACAACTCGAAACAGACCAGTTGTACTAGCATAGGTCACTAAGGATTTTTTGAGCTTCATCATTACACAATACCACAGCGCCTATAAATTCTTATGTTTTCGCGTGCCTGGTATTGGATGTCTCTTCGTCTTCGCGAGAAAGCAGACCAAACCCAAATGAGATAATGTAAATCTCCTCGGCATAATTCTTGACAATGTGGGCATTGAGGAAAACTGTTTCCAATTGCTTGTCCATCTCCAAACCATTTGTCAAGTACATGTGTGTGACGCTATGATGAATTGGGAGACGTGGCCTGACTCATACGCCATGTTTATTCCATTCTGCACTTCTTCTTCATCGGCTTCTACCAACCATCGCTTGATACGTCACACGATTCCCCCTCCCCCGGAAGGAGGCATGGATTACGAACAAGGAAAAGTAAACAAGGAGAGATTAAAAAGTCACAAATGTCAAAATTCACAATTGGTTTTATGCTCCAGGGGAGTTCCGTAAACTTTCAAAGACTTCAGGGGAGAGTGCAGCAGTCCGGTTAACGCAGGAGTTCTGGTGGGCGAGGCTGGTGGTTGCGTCCTAGATAACACAAAAATGCTTTGGACGTAGAGATAGGGGTAATCACAGCTGGCATTCTTGTGAAGAACGAACGAGGTTCTAATATCTTGCAGAATTGACAGTTCCGATATTGTAGGCATCGAATGCCTCGTCGTGGGTGATACAAAGGCCGTGCAGGCAGCTTGCATGCTCGTTGATCGAGGTTGATTGGGCGCTGCCTGTGTTCCTGCCGAGTACAAGGGGTGCTTTTGTGGCTTTTGGAGATTTTTCTACAGCGATGTCGCAGATGTTTTGATCGAAGGCACATTTTCAATCTCTGGTGGAGAATGTATCCACGACGATGGGCCTTTTCGCAATGTTCTTTGAGCCTTAAGAGTGCTTTCGATGAAGTTTTCTTTCGTCGTGGACAATGATGAAGAATACGTTGACGTGGTAGTTTCTTGGTTTCATCGACTTGCTTGTGGTGTGACATTGATCATGGTGTGCCCGGAGAGCAAGCCCTCCCCAGGCTTCTACGAGGCCAACCAATGCAGCTGTTTTTGGAGCAAGCCAATGTGGGGGGTTTCACGCACTTGAATCTTGTGTATTCATAAACCGCTCATTGTTGGTCGTTGCCTGAAGGGTACTTGTGTCATCAGAAGTCGCACGTACGCTTTTGTTTTCAGTGTTGGCAGTGAGGTTGGGCACTGGATTGACGTCGCTTCGATCTTGGGATTGATGAACACTAGACGCTTCTGCAAAAGACTTTTCTTCACAAGATGCTAATTCTGAATGCTTCTGTCCTTGTGGAACTGCTGAGTTGAATACCAAGTCTGTTTGAAAAGTACGCATGCGGCACGAAGTATTCAATGCATCTGAGTCATCAATAGTAGATTCAATTGTTTTATGCAGCGGAGAGCTAAGCATAGGCGATATTTTTGCGGATGAGGAACCAGATGGAAGGTTCAGAAAACGACAGCGTGGTCTTTCCATGAGCAGTGTGGCTAACTTCACCTGACGGGAATTGTAAATTCATGCTCTTTGCTCGAATGCGTGAAGGCTGGTTATGGCTGCGATGACTGAGTTCGAATGCACTGAGAGTGTGTGTTCTAATCGAATCTTCATTAGAGTCTTGAAACCAGGCGATCATTTCTTCTTTTATCTTTTGCCAAGACTCGTCGTTGTCGAATATGTGGGTGAGGTAAAATTAAATGCCTCACCGGTGACGTAGTCGCTGAAGTTCCTAACCATCTCCCGTTCCGACCAAGATGCAGCGGTTGCGTAGAGCTCGAACAGGTCAAACCAGTCTAGTACAGGTCCATCGTCCGCCGCCCCGGTGTACTTGGGGATGGGAAGGTCAGTCGATGATTCTGTCATGGTGCTGGTCGCTGTGTGCGGCCAGGAGATGATTTCGTAGTCGATGTATGGTCAGGGTGTCTTGTGGAGAACTGCGTCGATCATGAAACACTGATGAAATGGCTAGGGGTCTTGATCCTGTCGACTCGTGTGACGCTATGATGAATCGGGAGACGTGGCCTGGCTCATACGCCATGTTTATTCATTCTGCACTTCTTTTTCGTCGGTTTCTACCAACCATCGCTTGATACGTCACATGTGGTGTATATGCTATATTGGCCATAACCTTCTTCAGAAATATTTCTTGCGCACTTTTCGCTCAAAAGAGGTGCTGGTGTAGCTTTCAATAGCCTTCGTTGAGTTCGCATTTTATTTACGCGAATATATTTCATAAATGCTCTGCTAGAAGAGCCTTCACGCAAAGTATTTGGATTTAGATTGAGAAGGTCCGCCTAGTGTGGCGACGAATCGGGGTTTGGGGTAAGTAGACAATAGCCAAGCCCACCAGCTTGCGCGGCGACCGCATGAGCGGCTTCGTCTCACTCGTTCGCGCCAGTATCACCTGTTGTCCACAAAGTTTCCGCATTAATTCCACAGTCCTGTAATCATTTTAACTTCCGTTTTATATAGTTGGCCAGTACTTCCTCAGTGATTGTTGTGAGCTGAGCAACCAATTCGTCTGACTCTGTCAATATACAATAATTCTTTTGTACATTCTCGCTTACAGTGCTTCCCTACATCTACCGGAGTAGTGTTGATCGCTCCCTATATGCCAACAAGTGTGCATGTAAGAGTGCCCCACCGGTAAGCTGGCAACTATGACAACCGGAATGCGGATGTGCTGGCGCAGGCTATACTAGCTTGTTCGTCTTTGATCGTTTTGTCAGTGTAGATTTCAACGGTGTTCTCAGCTTTGCGGAGGTGCTGCCTTTTCACAAGTGTTACCTGGTGGTTGTGTTGCACCTGGCGATCGGGCGCTGTTACTTCCGTGCGCTCAGCGGGGCTTCTCACGGTGCTACTTGGGTCGTTTTCTCGTGCTTTAACCCTGCGTGAACTCTTTTGTCTCATGCCATGATTTCTTTGCCCTGTGGAGTGTTCTCAAGCCGGCATCGCGTGCGAACATTTGCTTCAATAATTACGCCCCTCATAGTAGGTAGCGGCACAAGTTGGAACCCCTCCTCGTTGCTTGTGTGCTTCGGGAGCCCAACTATCATACGAAGGGTCGCTCGGTGTAACTTTTTAACGTAATTAAGGTCTCAATCACTGTTCATACATAGGAGCGCCGTAAAG